AGTTTATAAATAAAAGAGTTATATGTAACACTTTTTTTCTGACAGACATATGTCTGGGGAGTGACAGGGAGGAAAGATTCATTACATGCATCCAGATAATTAAGCCTGAGTTACCCTGACAATGATGGCATTATTAACAGAGGTTCAAGAAGGTAAAGAGATTTTTTAAAAGTTCATTTCATGTTTATTTCTTGTGGCCTTCCTGTTGTGGAAATGTCCAGCTAGCATTTGGAGATACTGTGACTAAAGGCTCTAGGAGTTCAGAACAGATAGGCTAAAGCGTGCCATCTAGAATTGTTTCTTCCTTGAGGTAGAAGGTGATATATAGAGTTTAGAACTAAACTTTTTAAAACTCCTATTTGGCAGAATGGACAGGAGAAGATGTCAAAGTCCCTAAGGTATCTTACATAGCTACAATTTTATTTTCAGAGAGTTGAGAGAAGGAGAATAAGTATCCACAGAATTCCATTATACTTAGAGCTGACTTACTTATTTTTGTAATTTTTTTTTTATGAAAACCTAAGGCCAATTCTTCAAATTCATTCTTATAAATTGTTTTATGTAGTTGATTCACTAGTTTATCCCATAGCAGGTGTTGCAATTTTGTATTTGATACAAATTTCTTTTAGATAGTTATTTTTAATTTATATGTAATTGGCATACCACAAATTAAAGAAATTTCAATTTCTAGTAACAACCTTTTAAGGTACTTAAAGAGTTACTAGATGACTAATAATAGATTATCTTTTTTTAAGCTACAGGAATGATTGGAAAATGTGTTCAGTATATTGGATGAATTCTTTAAAACTAGTTTTTAGTTTTTTGTGGGTGTAGGTTTAGGTGTGTAGGTGCATGTTTGAGGACAACTTTGTGGAGTTGGTTCTTAACCTTCCACCATGTTGATCTTGGGGATTGAGTTCAGGTCATCAGGCTGTCAATACCCTTTGCTCACTGACTCATACCATTGGCCCATGTAGTAGTCATTCTTTTTTATTTTTCCCAGAGTTGCCTCATTCCAAGGGTTTGTTTGTACACAAAGGAGGTTTTTCTCTGTGCTATTTGATTTTTAGAATATAAGTCTGTCCTAAAGACGTTATTAGAATGTTTTCTAGCTCAGTGCTCCCTTCCAACTAGTTTATATTTAAAGAATGAAAAAAAAATTAATGAGAAAAAACGCCACGTGGCCCTGGTCCTGAAATTGGCATACTTCTTTAATAGGGTGATTTTGCATAAGCTACTTCATGTGCTTCTTCTTTGTGTTTGTTTTGAGGTCTTCTAGTAGTTGATTTTCATTCCAGTCTGGCTCAGTCTTCCTAATTGACTTATTAGACATTATAGTTTTAGTCTTCATTTTGGTCTTTTTGATACAGTTCATGTTCAGATTTATCAAGGTCTCTCAATAACCCTTCTGGAACATCATGATTTTAGAATTGAGTAGATTTTAGAACTCCTCTCCATTCTTAAAAAGAGCTAGGATATGATTTATTTCCCCATTACTAACAGAGTTCTTCTTGGTCTTCCACTCCTTAACAAGGGTTTAACATTCATTTCTTAAAAATGCTTCTAGGACTTAGTCACATAGGATTTTCTAACCAGGGGGATACTATTACAATATAATTCCTCATCTACTTTTAAAAACCAGAATATAGTAATGCTGAATATGTCTTTTATTAGCTTTTTTTTTTAACTGTTTTTAATGTTTGTGTATTTTGTGTTATATTTGCATACTAGAGGAATAGTTCACCTGGAGAAGTCTTACTTGGTGTTAAAATTTTGTCATTGCTTTGTTTTGTGTAACTATAACATGAAATAAGTAGCACAAATCATGTATTATTAATTTTTATATAGACTCATTTTTTGGTTAGGCAGTACATAGACCTCATATATTTTTATGCACATATATTTCTTTTAGAGATATGTTTATTTTTGTTTTTTAAGATTATTGCTTTCTAGCTACACATATTATTCAAACTTACTTACAAATCCCTTGACTGGTTTAAAAGATGCAATCATTTTCAGTAAGAATTGTTCTTTTGTCTTTTTGTTTGTTTGATTTTTTTTCCTTTGTCAGTCATAATACACATTATAAAAAAGATGGAACTAGGATAGTCTCTTAGTTAGATTTTTCTGTTGCTGTGATAAAACATCATGACCTAGACAATGTAAAGAAGAAAGTGCTTGATGGTGGCTTAAGAGTTTCAGAGGGTGAGTTTACTATCATCATGACAGGGAGCTTCGAAGCAGCAGACAGGAGTGGAACACAAGCTGAGAGCTTGCATATTATGATCCACAAACTTGGGGCTGGTGGGTGGAGGAAGAGAGGGAAAGGAAGAAAGAGAAAGAAACTATTTGGGAGTGGCATTGACTTTTGAAACCTCAACTCTACCTCCAGTGGTGAACCTCCTCCATCAAGGCCACACATCTCAATCCTTCCCAGTTATACCAACTGGGGACCACATATTGAAACATATGAGCCTGTGGGACTCATTTTCATACACATCACCACATTCCACTCCCTATTCTCCATGTCCTAATACAACATTCATTTAGAAGTCCTAGAGTTCTTCACTCTCAAGACTTTAATATTCCAAAATCTCTTGAGACTCATGGTATCAATCTAATTATAGCCCCTTGTAAATAAAAAGCAAATTATATACTCCCAACATAAAATGGCACAAAATATACATTACCATTCCAAAAGGGGGATCAGGGCATAGTGAGGAAATACTGAGCCACAGCAAGACCTAAATCCAGTAGGGCAAATTCCAAATTTTATAGTTCCATGTCTCATTCTTTCAGCTTTGTTGACTACAACATAGTTATCCCTCTTGGGCTAGTGCTCCATTTGTAGCTCCTTTAGTGATAATCCTCTGCTGTCATCTCTAAAATCCTTAGGTCTGTAACACAATCCATGTATTCTTTTCACAGCTTCTCACATTAGGGTCTCCAGGCCTTCCTGTGGGAACTCGCTTGTAAAATGAGTGGCCTCAGTGGCTTTTCAGATACTGTGTTATGTAGGACACAGAGATCTTGTATGTGTAGTTTTAGAGCTTTATATGTTTCAATTCAGCTAAAATACTCTTCTGAGCATCTACTAACTATAAATAAGAGCACATTGATAGCATGCATGTGAATTTGAGTAACTCCCACCCCACCCCTGCCACCAAATTAAATGCAGTGGAAGATTATCAAGACATTCAGAGGATGCCATGCTCATGAAGGTTTCCGTATAGCTACACTCAAATTTCTTCCTCTATACTATTGTAGCTTCAAACTGTAGGCTTAGACTTTTACTTATATGAAAGTGTAGTTCCAGAGCATTTATAAAGTCTTTGGAACTTTTGAGTGAACTGAGGACCAAAACAGCTTTCTCATGGCTTAGACACTTTCTTAAAAGTTTTTGTATGAAGTTCTTTTTAGAGGTTTTTATTTATTTATTTTTTCTGTTCATATAGTGTAGCATTTATTTGCCTATAAAAGTATTGAACATTTAGAATGTGAATCCTGACATTTGTACTTACAGTCTTTCAATTCTGTCATATGCTGTATGGCTAATGTCCTAGACAGACTCCATGGAGAAGGTAGTTCTGTCCTTCCTTGTTTTTTAAGTTGTTCTAAAGTGGTACCTTCCTCTGCTATCTTACCTTCAAGTTTCTTTTTACCCAAGAAATATCCTATGTCACTAATGATTCATTTCTTTTATGTTGTAAGTTTCTTATATAGTAGCATTAGGAAACCTTACTGTTTTCTTTAATAATTTTAAGGAGAGATGCTCTCTTTTCTGTTGTCAGCATCTGGCATATCATTAATAAGTATCATATCCATATCTCTCTATAGATCATAGATTTTTAACCTTCAGAGATCCAAAGGCTAAGTTAGTTGTCTTTTTGAGGCCTTCCTATGTGCTGATTTTAGAGTGGTGTTTTCTCTTTTGACTGAAGTGCTTATTTTTCTTGAGAAATCAGTGGCTCTTCTGCATTTAAATCTGCCTTTCTGTTGAATTTTTAACACTCAGAGAAAGTTACCACTTCTTTCTTTCCAAGCATTTTCTAGGATATAACCAACCAAGTTCAGTTGGTTCTAGATCAGTGGATACCGGAACAGAAAGGAGGTATTTCTTACCTGATAATGTGTGTGTTCCGATTCTGCTAATCCAGAAAGCCAATCACAGTTGTTGAAAATCATCCTTAGTTATTATTTGTTTGGGAGTCAACTCCCTATTTTAGATGTTTCTGAAATTCAGTCCCTAGATGTGCTTTAGATAGGGTAGAATTTTTACCTCTTTCAGAACACTGCTAAAGAAGTTTTCAACTGGAACATAGTCTGAAGAAGCACTGAGAGCAAAAAAAAAAAAAAATCAGAGTGGTGATTGGCCACCTCTGTTTGATTGACAGGTTGCAGGGAGAAATCCATTCGTTCTGGATTAATGGAACTGGAAAACAGAAAACAATTATCAGGTAAAAAATCCCTTTTCTTTAACCTTTAAAATTCACCATTAGAAGATGAGTCAGACCACCAGGGAAATTTTTTTATTTTATTTTTTTAACCAAAACAAATGAAATTTAGTGTCTTGTAAGCAGTGATCTCTGGCTACTACTTCTGAGTGTTACAAAAGAAATTGCTACCGTTGCTCCATGTTCTTAGCCTTTACAGAAAGGGCAGGAATGTATGGAAAAAGATGGAATATCTGGTACATTTATGTTTTAATCTGGGTTAAAATGTGAAGTAGAATTCTCTGGGTGGGGGGCAAATCTGTATATTTTTATTTTCTGAATTGTGTCTGGTCTGTGACTGGGATTCTTGCTTTTTCAATGCTGTTAATCTGGCAGTTTTCATGAATTTTCACAAAATTTACTGTTCTCTGTTTGATATATTTAATCTTCCCTTTATCAGGATGTATGTATACTTTTAAGTCTATTATAAAAAATTCTAGTAATGGTAGTACCAGTCTTTTTTCATTTTAATGACCATTTTCTGATTTTTGGTTAAATATGTTTCAGATTGAAGGCCAAGGACATGGTGCAGTGTTCGACTGCAAATGCTCCCCTGATGGCCAGCACTTTGCATGTACAGACTCTCATGGACATCTTTTAATTTTTGGTTTTGGGTCTAGTAGCAAGTATGACAAGGTAGAGTATGATAATTGTGCTTTATTTTCTTGTTTAAGTCTTAAATACATGGGTGTTCAAGGGTTATATGTTTTTTCTTAGGAGTGGGTGAGAATATACATTTTGAAAATTAGAAAGCTTGGGGCTGGAGAGATGCTCAGTGGCTAAGAACACTTGCTGATCTTTCAGAGGACCCGAGTTTGGTTCCCAGGACCCATGGCAGGTAGCTTAAAATCATATGTAACTCCTGTTCCAGGAGATTTGATGCCTCTGGCCTCTGTGGACACCTATACACTCATATGCACATACCCATATGCAAGTATACGCACGTGCACACACACACTCTCACACACACACACACACACACACACACACACACACACACACACACTTAAAAATGATCTTTAAAATCAGCTCAAAGAATCCTATAATAAATAGTATAGAGACTTGCTTTTAGAAAGTAGTGTAAAGGCAGCTATGTATCTATAAAATCTTAATTTTCTGTAATTAAACAGTTCAGAAGGAACCACTTTTTACATATCTTGTTAGAACAGTCTTGATTTGAGTTCTTGACTTGGGATAAATTAGTTTGAATAGGAGATGGTACCCATAAAGGGGCTTTTCAAATTATGTGAAATGTTTATGTAGGTAATACATATTTGTAGATTATAACTCCTTAGCTTGCATATGATTCTAAAATTGTGTGACCTGCTAATGTTTTGTTGATAAATACTCTTTAGGACTAGTGGTTAAAATAATTAAATGTTTTGTTTGTAGTATAATGAATGAATAATTAATAATTTAGTTTAAGACATTGCAAATTAACCAGTGAAAATCTGAAGTTGTAGGATCTGTCAGGGCTGAGTTCATAATAATTTTACATTACTGAAAATAACCTAGAGACAATGCTTTCTTTTGTCACATTAGTTTTTTGTTGTTAAAATTATGTAAATCTTGAAGCTTGGCATGTAGCTCAGTAGTATAGCACGTGTTTGTCATGTCTGGGATTCTATGTGTTCATTTGTTCCTCCCAACGTATCACATGCCTAAAGATTTAAAATAGAGCATAGTATCTGTGAAAGTAAAAGTATCTTTGAATGTTTTATGCTTAAGTGTAATTTTACTTACCATTTAAATTGAAAAGCTAATTTTTATGATGGTTTTCTTTTTTAATATATATGCTTGTCGTACTTGTTTACAGAAAAAAAAAAGCAGCAGATTTTTTTACACTAGGCAATGAAGGATATATAGAGATACGCTTAAAATGAATTAAGAATAGATGATTCTTTGGTTCCTTCAATCCTTCTTTTAATTCTGGAGATTAAATACAGTATGGATGCAGAAATTAAATCCCAGTCTTGTATTGTACTTTTAAATAGATATGTAATACCATAATTTGTGGTATAATGTTAGACTTCTATTATAAATTTTATCAATATTTTCACAATAATTTTTTCCCAGTATTTTATGGACCTTTCTTTTTACAGATAGCAGATCAGATGTTTTTTCATAGTGATTATCGGCCCCTTATCCGTGATGCCAACAATTTTGTATTAGATGAGCAGACTCAGCAGGCACCTCATCTCATGCCTCCCCCTTTTCTGGTTGATGTTGATGGAAATCCTCATCCTTCAAGATACCAGAGATTAGTTCCTGGTCGTGAAAATTGCAGGGAGGAGCAGCTCATCCCTCAAATGGGAGTCACTTCTTCAGGTAGGCATCCATTTGCACAGGGGTCAGGTTTTTTACAGATTCTTTTACATACTTGTTTTGAACAAATGCAAAGTTCTTTCAATAATTACATCAATCATTACAAGATAATTAAAACATTGGAGATTTAAAGTAATAATTTTGGTTCGTAGCAGTTTCTAACCAGAAGGGATTAATAGGATCATCATAAATGAAATCATTTATTCATTTAACAAACAATTATTGAAAATCTGTCTTGACCTGCTAAACTCTGAATATTCACTAAGAAATTAGATATGATCCATGCTCTCAAATAGTCGCCAACACTTAAAAAACACAGCTATGAACAAATAGTAAAGCTAATAATACTGGAAAAATCTAAAACTAGATTGACTATTCATATTGTAGTTTAAGAAGTGGAATTCATTATGTTAGTCCCAAGTTGGTCTTGATTTCTCAGAGATCCTTCTGCTTCTGCCTCATGAGTGCTAGGATTAAAGGCATGGGCTGGCACACCTGTCTAGACATGATCAACTTTTAAAGTTTTGTGAGAAGATAGGGCTGAAAAATGTTGAAAGAGCTGTTTCCATGAAGTCAAGTGAGCTGAAGAATTGAGTGGGTAGTTAAAATGTAGAAGAGGTGTGCAGACACTTCTTTCCCTATTTGACAAGTGTAGGACTAACTGACTTATCAAGTGAAGATAATTAAGACCCTCTAAATATTACACAAGATTTGTCATTAGGAATGATATTTTAGGCTAAAAAAAGTTTGTGAAGATGCTACATACAGGTTTTACAGTGTATTGTAATGGACAGAGTTTCTGAATAGATTGTGTCCTTGGTGAAGTATGAGTTTAGGTTCTATAAATAGAAAGTTCAGGATTTGTTGATATAGAAAGCTATAAGATTGGGTGTAAGATTGGAATAAAGATGACATATTAGAAAGTGCTAGTTCTTAAATTAGAGATTCCTACTCCGATGGATGGTTTTAAAAAAAAAAATAGAATTGCTTCCCTTTTCACTTTTATAGTATAGGCTTGAATATTTAATTCCTAAAACTAATGTTTCTTAGCATACTCACAGAATGTAAGAATAGCTACTGGTTGACAACTAGTCATAGTCTTGAAGTTTCAGTACTAGAGAAATATCACTCATGGGATTTATTAATTAGGATGCATGAAATGTCTTAGAGTATCACTGGCAAAGTTGAAATTTTTCTCAGGTCTCAAAATAGTTTCCTTATCAGGGGTTTTAGGCTGAAGAAGTAAAGGAAAAGATACATTCATTAAATGTCAGTATTATTGTAATTGTTACTTTTCCCCCAATTTACAGCTTCTATAATAAAGCTTTCATAGATAATAATCAGTGCATCCTGAGAATTGAGGAAACAGAAATTTTACATTTGTGTTGTATAATAAGAGACATTTACCTTAAGTCTGATTCTGTTGCCACTTTTAGAAGTAGTGATACCTTTACCCTTGCTGAAAAATACACAATAGCAACTTAAGCAGGAAGTAGTTATTTTTTAAGGTTTCCAATTTCTGAGGGTGACATCTGTGCTAATGTGGTGAGTACAGTGAATCAGGGACATGTTGTTGATGTGGCAGCAGAAGGGAAGCAAGGAAAGGTAGACTGGAGTTCGGTGTGGGAATAAATAACCTTTAACCACTGTTACTCATCTGCTTCCTCCAGCAAGGTTAGCACTACAAACTGGGGCCTGAGCTATCAGCCCATATGTGAGAAACAGAATTATAAAATGGCATGATCTTGAAATTGAGATTGGTGGCAGGTATTAACAATGGCTCAAAAGAGAATCTTCAGCAGTAATTCCAACTTCTTAGTATTTACTTTCAAATATTTTCTAGTTCTCCAAATTGTCATTATTTTAGAATTCCAAAACACAAAAGTATTTAAGTACAAAGTGGAACAAAACTAAATGTTTTTTCAGAAAAATGGAATCATTACACACTTTATTTGCAAATTTAGGATTTTGAAAATTTATTTGCTAAATATTACAAAGCTAAGTAAAACTAAATATAGCTTATTGTAATAATAAAAATATTTAAGTGGAGTTTTGTAGCATTGATTTCTTCAATTTTAACCTTAGGGGAGCTATACCAAATTGTTAATCAACATTCAAATATGATCTAGCAACAAATTAGAAAATTGAGCATAGACATTTGATTTTAGCTCTGTATTTCATAGCTCTGTATTTTGTTACTTACTAGCTTTGTGACTTAGTCATGTTTTTTCTATTTAATTAGTTTTCTCATGTAAAATAAGTCAAGTAACACATGGTATTTTCTTTTTCTTGCTACGTTTTAGAATATTCTTTGGGCATTCTCTTTACAACTCATGTCAAAATCTTACATATACATGTGTATACCTAATGCTAATTATTCCACTTGTTATTTTTTAATGGAAATAATCTTATAAATCTTATTGTTAAATATTCTTGTTTTTTTTCATTCTGTCTTCAAGATTGAACTTTTCAGAAAAGATTGATTTTATATTAAATTGTGTCTATGTAGGGGAGTGAGCTTGTTTGTGTGGTTGCCTGTGTCCAATCCCCAAGAGGCTGGAGTTTAACAAAGATAGTTGCAAGTTGCCTCATGTGGATGCTGAGAATTAAACTGGGATCCTTTTGCAAGGCTAGCCCAAACTCTTATCTAATGGGCTATGTCTCTCCAGCCCCAAGAGTGAACATTTTTATGTATTCCAATTTATGCTAGATTTAAGAAATTAACTTACTGAGCTTTCTTTTATATTCCATATTTGCCTTGGTGCTAAGATAGAAGATTAATAAGGATCTGAAAGAGGGGATCAGATTGTTCTTTCAAGGGAATTTTGGAAATTTTTCACAGTGTAAACAAAGTATCATTTTAGTATTTGAATGATAAATTAGAATTTTATCATGTATATCTTTATGGTGTTTTTGTATGACTGGTATGAATAGGAGGTGTTAATAAGTAGGTTGGGTTGAATGTACGAAATTCCTCCACATGTATCTGAGCACCAATCTGACACTTAATTCACATGCTTAACCTAAGTGTCCATTCAAATGCTGCCTTCTCAAAGAGGGCTGCTCTGACTTCTGACTTACACGGCTGTCTTTCAGTTCCTTTTTTCCCTTCTCCTCCCCTTATTTTTTACATCTTCCACAATCTGCATTTATTGGCAGTCTTATTCTTAATTTCCCCAATCAGGAAGGGTAGTTTGCTGTAGGAAAAAGATGTTGATGTCTAGTTTGTCACTGGACTAGGTGTAGTCTTAAGCACATGGTAGGCAACAAAGTTTGTTGAACTCATGAGATGGTTGTCAGAAATGCAAGTGTAAGTAGGAAGTTCTATTTTGGCTTCTTCCTAGATGTATGACTTCGATTGTTTGTGTTTTTAAGTGTATAATGGAGCTAATAATTTGTTTTCCATAAGGGTTATAACTGTTTGAATCATGATAAACAAAAACAGGATGCAGTCATCCTTCTCATCATTACTTTTATGAGTTGAAAATAGGTTATGGATGTTATCTGTTCTTTTCTGTCACTTACAGGTAATCATTTTAACTCTTTACCATAGTAAAATTAGTATTTAATTATGGACTTTTAGGAGATTGACTAGTATTTTCTGTAATCTTAAATAGGATTGAACCAAGTTTTAAGCCAGCAAGCAAGTCAGGATATCAGTCCTCTAGACAGCATGATTCAAAGACTACAACAGGAACAGGACCTGAGGCGTTCTGGTGAAGCAGGTGTTAGTAATGCCAGCCGTTTAAACAGAGGTAAGCTTTGAGATTGTACTTTGAAAAACTGAGACCACCTAATCACCAACAATAGAGAAATGACTAAATTACAGCACATCCATAAAATGAAACAGGCTACCAAAATGATCATGTTTTTGAAAAATAATACAAGGTTTTATATTAGAGATGAATTTTTAAAATAATGGATATTCTTCCAGATTTCCTAAGGTAAACATTAGAAATCAGATTCTGTTCACTAGCACCCTATTCCCTCATTGCTTTGATGGAAACTAGGGCTTGTCTCATACTGGGCAAGTGATCTTGCACTAAACATGAGAAACATGAAAAATCAGCTTATTATATCATTTTCAAAACATAGTCAAATTTTTAGTTCCTCACTCTTATTTGTTGTATATTTAATGTTAAGAGAAAAGTTAAATTTGTGAGCTGTACATGTCCTTGGATTTTTTTAAATTCCCAAAAGGCTTAGCAATTATTTTAAAGTATGATTTTGTGCTTGTAGTACCAGAACTTAATAATCCATAATTATGATTCATTAATTTATCCAATCAGTTGAATAACCACATTTTTGTTTTCATTAACCTGTGGTTTTGTTCTTGATAATGGTATTTGAATTATTTGCTGTAAAAGCTTTGTGTATAAGAAAATGTTAGTTTTTTATTATAAACTGAGGTGACTAAGTAGAGTTTAACCATGCTGATTCCTTTCCCCCTACCCCTAATGTAGGCTCTGTAAGTTCTACCTCTGAAGTTCATTCACCACCAAATGTAGGATTGAGGCGCAGTGGGCAAATTGAAGGTGTGCGGCAGATGCACAGCAATGCTCCACGAAGTGAAATAGCCACAGAGCGAGATCTTGTTGCTTGGAGCCGAAGGGTGGTGGTACCTGAGCTCTCAGCTGGTGTAGCTAGGTAAGGAGAATTATCATTTGGTATTTAGTGTAGTTGCTTGCAATCCTTTTGACTAATATTCTTGGAAATACCTTTAAATTTTTTAAGCTAGTATTTTAAGGCAAAAATGAATTCCTAAATTTGTTTTTTTATAACAATTTGTGTAAATGGTATGAGATGAGGGGTGTTTAGATAGGAAAGGAGCATCATCAATTAGGTTCACTAAATATTTAGTTGAGTACCAGTTCAAATTTTACTTTGTCCTGTTGGTATCCTTTGTCTCCTTGAGTAAGCATATCCCTGTATGTGCATGTGTGGAGCCTAGAGGTTGATGTGAGGTGTCTTCCTCTGTCATCGTGCACTTTTAGGCACAGGGTCACTGATTGAACCTGGAGCTCATTGATTGATGATGCTAACTGGCCAGTGTGTTGTGTGTGTGCACTCTCCCATAGTCCCAGCACTGGGGTATTTGGGCAGGTGCTGGGGATCCACATTCAGGTTCTCATGTGTATGCAGTAAGCACTTCCCTTAACTAGTGAGCCATCTCCCGAGCACTCTCAGTGTATATCTTAAAATACATCTCATGGCATTAGTTACAATTACATAGGGTATTTAGTGCCCTTAATATTCACATTAGATTATTCATAGGCATAAAGGAGATATTCCTTTTAGTGGTAAATATTACATTAGTTTGTGTATGTGTAAGTGTATGAATAACGTGCATGTAAAATATGAACCTGTCTACTGCCCTCTATATTATAATAAATAAAAAAGTATGAACATATGTGAATTTGAATTTGTTTTTTAGCTTTTTGTTTCTTGGGGCAGGGTTTCTGTGTTTAACAGTCCTGGCTTTCCTGGAACTTACTTGATAGACCAGGCTGGCCTTGAATTCTGCCTACTGCTGCTTCTCAAGTGCTGGGATTAAAAGCATGACCTACCAGCATTTTTTTTAAGTTTTTAATAATAGTGATTATATGATTAAAATTTTAAGGAAATCTTATATTCACATGTTATACTCCATAATTGGGCAATTCTTAGAGTTTGTGTCTAGGTTTTTAGACTTGAATATATATCTTCTACATAAACAATTTTGGTAATTTCAATCTTTGACAATTAATGTGGAGGTTTGAAGGAAGTTCAATAAATAACACTCATTCTTTCAAAAAGAATTTAGGTTTATTATTTTATTTGTATGAGCATTTTGCCTACATGTCTGATGCTTGTGAGGGTGAAAAGAAGTCATCAAGTTCCTTGGGCGGAAACTTGGTTGTGAGCCACCTTGTGGATGTTGGGAATGGGAATTGCAAGAGCAAGAGTATTGTAACTGCTGAACTCTTTCTCCTGCCCCTGACACTCACATTCTCAACACTAGTTCTGAACTGAACTAAAAAATGTCAGAGAGAGAAAGTAGGAAACCAGACTCATTTTTTTTTTTAAATTTTTAGTAGAGTTATGAATAATGTAGCTTTAATTTTACTGTAACCTACCTAAAGCTAAATAAACTCCATCCACATGTGGTAATGAGTCATTTCTCCATGTTTTCAGAGGAAAAGATGTTTTCATTGTATAGGGCTGGGTTTACTACATTTTCATTCTTCTGCTTCTTCCCTAGAAAAGATTGAGTGTAAAAATGTATATGCTAGTTGATTGTTAAGGTTCTTCGAGTGAAGAGTAAGGAATATCCCCTGCCCCCTTTAAATACTCTTAACCATTTTTGCCTCTTTATCCTTTTGTTTATAATCTTTGAGCCTAAGGTCCAACAAGATTGTGACTGTCATTTAAAAGTCAAAATTTTGGTCTAACGCCTAGTATATGTCCATTAGAAATCTTTCCAAGACTTAAACTTGGTGGGCAATTTTAAGTTTGCCTCAAAGTGGTTCCTAAATGAGGCAGGGACTACCCTAGTAGTCCTAGTAGCACTAGTTCAAGTCCAACCACATGTATTCCAGTAAAGAGCAAACATATGAGAACTTCTAAAACTCAGTAGTAAACAGAGCTATCCAACTGCACAAAGTGACTCCTGCCTGTGACCCCAGTCTTCTGCAGGAAGTCAAGAAGCTGGAATATATTAATTAAAAAAATAATTACCACAAAGTGGACAAAAGACCTGAACTAGCATTTCACTAAAGAGGATGGTAAATTAAGCATTTAAAGAGAAACTTAGCATCTTTAGTTACTGGGAAATTTCGGAGTAAAACCACAAAGAAATACCACTGTGTACCTATCAAAGTCTCCCAAATAATGAGTGATAGCACCAAGTACTGAGAAGCTATAGAAAAAACTCCCATACTTGTGCTGTTTTTTGTTTGTTTGTGAGTGACAACATAAACATGACACAGACATCTGGAATACTGTTTTGTCCTTTATTCTACAACTGTCATGTATGACTCAACATTTGTTTCTTGGAAATTTACTAGCATTTAGTAATCATATATACTAATGGGCTTCATTATGACATTTCCATATTATGTGATTAATTTGTCCATTTTTACCCCTTCCCATTTGCCCTCTCATTGTCTCCTGTAGTTTTCACTGCCCCCTTTTACTTTCTGTATTTGTTTGTTGTTTACTTATGGTTGCTTGAGTGAGCATCGGCGAAGGGTAATTTATAGGAATCATTGGCAGCTTACCAGTGGCTGTATCACTGAAGAAAATGACTCCATAGCATCCATTAACTACCCATAGCTTCTCAGGGAGTGGGGAGAACTTGTGCCCCTACACTAAAGCTACCGTTAATTGCCTCTAAATACTCAGAGAGGTTTGTGACCTCTTGGATCCCTCCCTCATCCATCACAAAATTTGAGGGACCCAATCTTGTAGTCACAGTTAACATGAGTTCATGAGTGCAATAGTAAAAGAACAGGAACAAATCCATATTTCCTTAATGGTACATGGTTATACAAACTGTGATATAATAATCTATTTTATAGAGGAGCAACTTAATCTGTTTTGATGGACTGATGCTTGATGAAAACAATTCTGAAGTTGCATACTATTTGATTTTATTTATGAACATCATTGAAATGATTAATGTTACAGGGTTGGAGAGCAAATTAGTGGCCACAAAGAATTAGGAGGTAGAGTCGAGGTGCAAGAAAGTGTTGGTATGATAATAAAAGAGCAAATTTTTGTGTTGATGGAATGCTCTGTATATTGTTTGTTGTGGTAAATATACAAGACTACACATACTACATTTACATAGAATGTGTAGCAGTAAAACTGGAGAAACCAGATGATTAGTGGTTTACCTGGGTATTTATACTATACTATACTTTCGCACGATTTTACCACTGAAGAAAACTGAATAAAGAATACAATAACTCCCATGACCTCTTTTTATACATCTATATGTGAATTGAAGATTCTTTCAATATAAAAGTTTAAAAAGCTCAAAAACTTAAATGTGAGGTTGGCCTTTTCTGAAGATTTAGCTTCCTTCATTTTTCCATTAACACAACTAGATACATTAGAGATTCTGTATTTAGGTAAAAATGAAAGTATTAATATGCTCTAGTATAAAATTATCGACAATGTATGCCTGCCCTGAATATTAATCTGCTTCCTCTTATAATATCTCCTGGGAAAAATTAAAGTGCAAAGATTTAATCACCTTGAAGGCCAATAAAACTTCCAAGTTAAAGTACAAATAACAGAGTTCTAAGGAGTTGGATTTAATAAAATTAAAATTCAAAGTTAGTATTCTTTTTCTGTTTATTTAGTTTCAGCTTGATGTCTGGAATAGAACCTGGTTTTGTTTTTGAGTAGTAGGGTCCATTCTATGTCACTGGGAAAATTATGTGTGCTTCAGGAATTGGGCGTTCAACCTCAAGTCTCTGCTGTTAGTAGATTGCATATATCCTATTTGACATGTCTGAGCACAAGCCATATACCTAATAAGGAAGGTGTCTTTGATACAGCCTCATAGAATTTAATACTGTTATTTGATTTATAATTACCACAGCAGAAAGAGTTGGAAATGAGGGGAGAAGCAAAATCTCTAGTATTTTCTTTATGTCCTGAGCCACCTAGAAAGAAAATAGAAGAGCTAATTTAACATTGTTATGTTAATAACTGGCATTCATTTGACTGGAAAACAGTTTTAAAATTGTAGATTAATGTTTATGGATTTTAATATTCTCTTTTAGTAGACAAGAAGAATGGAGAACTGCAAAGGGAGAAGAAGAAATAAAGAGTTACAGGTCAGAAGAGAAAAGGAAACACTTGACTGTTGCAAAAGAGAATAAGATTCTTACTGTCTCAAAGGTAAATACTAATTTGATGTTTAATAATGTGGGGGTAAGTATAATTGCCATTTTAGGCATTCCTTTTAAAATTATAAGCAATAATACTGTAAGCAAAATAATACTAATGAAAATTGCTATATTTTCTGGTTACTTATTTGGATTTTTTTTTATTTCTCATTTAAAACTTTTGTTTCTGCATTTCCTATCTCTTAGCATATCTCTTCCCCAAATGCCAATTTTTATGTATATATTATATTCAACAAACTATAATCAACTTATGGAAAAGTATTTTCAATTCTTCTATTAGTTGTATATTCTATAATTTGTTTTTCCCTACATTGATGTTTTATCCTTACCTGTTACCAGGATAATCAATCACATCAGCCCTTTTCTCTTTCATGGTTGGTAGGTTGATGCCTGGAGAGATCTCCTAGTGATTTCAAGCACTTGCTGCTGGTAGAGAGGACCTGGGTTTGGCCACTAACAATTGTCTTCAGTTCCAGGGTATCCACTACCCTTGTTTGGCCTCTTTGGTCACCAGGAATGCATGTAACATGGCTCACATACAGACATACAGACAAAACATAAATAAACCCTTACAAAATAAAAACAGGTAGATTGTCCCTAGTGTTTTGTCCTTTTGTCATTTCAGTGGTCCTACCCTTCAAGGCTTGCATTTTCCCTCCTCTAGCTCAGCTGGAAAGTTTTCAAAGCCATTAGTTCTGAAGTTTAGAAAGAATATATGAAACAGCTTTTCAAGAAAGCTTTCATAATCACTGTAGTGATCCAAACAAAGAAAAAAATTACTGGTTTCTGACTAGTTTACAGTCAGCTAACAAATTGAAATATATTTTTCATGTAAATAAATCTTTGTGGCTCAGCTGCTAAAGGCTAGACTCATAACCAAAAATAGGAAGTCCATGGTAGAGGTTGACAAGATTGGCTAAGCTGGTAAGACATTTTCTGCCAAGCCTGATATGCCAGGAACCAACATGGTGGAAGAGAAGTGACTGCACAATATTGCCCTCTGACGTCAACATGGGCAACACATTTACACAAACACAAGTAAATGGAATTTAAATTTATAAAAACAAACAAAAATAACCTTTATCATACAGGATCGAGAATGATGCCTTTTAGTGAGGACTGAAGATTTTTCATTTTCTTATTCTTTAGTCAGGAATGACCACATACCTGAGGACAGTGTGAATCTTCAGTTACAGGTACAGGATTAAGGGTCAGTCAGAAGAGAAAAGTACAAAGTATATATGCTTTTCCTGTGGAAGGCTCTTTGATACTGCTGTAATAACATGCTAGACTTAAACCACATGATACCCTAATAAAGTAGATTTCGTGTTGAAGGATAAGAAAATATGTGTTAGTTAACAGCCTGCTTTATGTTCACTATGTCATTCCTTGAGGCATTTAAAATAGCCAGGTGTGGATGGGTGGTCCTGTCCCAAAGAAAAGCCAAACAGCAAACATTTAAAATGCTTCTTAGATTCTTTGATTTGGAATTTATCTTACCATAAGTGTCAAATTATGGATGAGGTTTTCCACAGTGAGAACATAGCAATTTAGTATGACATGAATTTGAGTAGCTGGAAATTCTTATGCCAAATGACAGAAATGATATATTAAATTCTTAATAGTGGATTTATCAGTGTTTGACAAAGTAGAACATTATTTCTAAAAAAATTTAGAACAGATGTGTTTCCAGTGAATCTTGGGTTTGTATGTGAGTATTCATTTCACTTTCAGCAGTGAGGATATAATTTTAGCTTCAAAGTTATATTCTCTCAGATTTTCCTACTGTTCTCCTCTTAATGTCTAATGTCAGTTTCATTTTCTTTTTTTAAAAAAAGATTTATTTGTTTTATGAATGGTTGCCAGTGGAATCCAGAAGAATTTAGCAGAACCCCTGGAACTGGAGTGTTAACAGATTATTGTTAGCTGCTGTGTGGGTGCTGGAGTCTGAACTCTGGTCCTCTGCAAGAGCAGCCAGTGCTCAGTTGAGCCGTCTCTCTAGCTTCTAAGTTCATTGTATTTTAGGGTGAACCTTAGTCCTGTGCTCTACTTTTTGTATTCTCATGTTTAACTATGATATATCTAATGAAGTTTTCTTTCATTTTGTTCAACTCAGTTCTGAAATCGTAAAACATTGTTAGGGATGGGTTTTTTGTTTTCTGTGTTTTTGGATTTTTTTGTTTTTGTTTGTTTGACTTGTTTTGTTTTTGTTTTGCTGTTGTTGAGGCAGGGTTTCAGCTCCAGATCCTCTTGTCCCCACCTTCCTTCCAAGAACTGTGTTTTCTATGCATTTATGAATCGCTCACATTTGTTTTCCTTTGAAGCTTTGGACAGTAATGAACCTGTTTCATGTTCTCACTCACTAGCATACATTTCGGTCTATTTGATCAACCTGCTGCCTTTCCCTATTACCAGTTAAATGATTACTTTTTATTCTAAGCATCTTTAGCTAGTTCTTTTTCATAGCATCTGCTTTTCATCTTCAAGTTGCTTTAACTTTTCTAGGAACACTTTTTATTTGAATGTATCTCTATCACTGTTTGACTTTGTCAAGTTTTTCTTGATTATTTGCATGTGCCACCACCACCCCCCCACCCCCGCAAACGACTTGGTTTTAGTTGGGACAGGGGTTGAGATGCCCTGACTGCCCTGGAACTCTTTTATGTAGGTGAGACTGGCTTTGAACTCAGAGATATACTGGCGTCTGCCTTTTGAATGCTGGGATTAAAGTAGTGAGCCATTATGCCCAGCTTGCTGCTGATTTTCTCTGAGATTTATTTCAGAAAGAATTTTGGGTGGTATCATAGTCCATTTCAGTAATATTTTAAGTATCTGTTGTTTTCTATAAAATAACTTAACAAGAAAACCTTTTCTTTAAAGCCTATTGTGAGTAAGTTTTATTTTATTTTCCAGAACCATGCTCATGAGCATTTCCTGGATCTTGGAGATTCCAAAAAGCAGCAAGCAAATCAACACAATTACCGTACAAGATCTGCACTGGAAGAAATGCCTAGGCCCTTGGAGGAGATAGAAAATGGGACTAGTTCTTCAGATGTAAGATCTTAGCACATTCATAAATTTCTGTGTCATTTGTACTTATTTTTAAAATATGACTGTCATTGTTTGCATTCATTGGTACGTAATTTTGATTTGACACTTAGATTTTATAGCAGCCATATCTTATTTACTAAAGACCTACTTCTAGAGATGTCACATATTCAGTCTCAAATTTACAAAACAAATAGTCCATATAGGTTAATTATTCTTAGTTCTCTTTGGTAAAATTTTACAATACCTTGGGAGCAGAGTATGTTAAGTTCAAAATACTATTTAATGGAAATCCTGTGTCTTAGGATTTTTATTGCTATGAAGAGACACCATGACCATGGCAACTCTTATGGGGTGGCTCACTTAAATAGTTCCGAGGTTTAGTCCATTGTCATCATGGCCAGGAGCAAGTTGGCATACACGCAGACATGGAGCTAAGAGTCCTACATCTTGCAGGCAACAGGCAGTTGACTGATAATACACTGAGGGAAGCTTGAGCAAGAAAACCCTCAAAGCCCGCCACCACCTTAACACACTTCCTCCACAAGGCCACACCTCCTAATAGTGCCACTCCCTTTGGGGGCCATTTATTTATTTGTTTGTTTATTTTTGCACAAGGCCCTCTGAATCAACTGAACTAGGTACACATGAGCTCATAGAGACAGAAGCAGCAAGCACGGGGCAGACACAGGTCTGCACCATCTCCTCTGTGTGTATATTTTAACTTTCAGCTCGGTATTTTTGTGGAACTCCTTAGTGTGTGAATGAGTGGGTCTCTGATTTTTGTACCTGCTGTTGGTGATCTTTTCCTTCTGTTGGGTTGCCTTGTCCAGCTTTGATGTAATGTTTTCTGATTCATTTTATTATAATTTATTTTGTCATGTTTGGATGTTATATCTTAGAAGTTTTTTGTTTTGGTTTGGTTTTTGTTTCTTGTTTGTTTGTTTGGTTTGGTTTTTGTAATTTTTCTGTAAGGCAAAGGACACGTGTAGTCAACAAGACAGAACAGCAGCCCACAGAATGGGAAAAGATATTCACCATCTGACAGAGTGCTGATTTGCAAAATATACAAAGAACTCAAGAAGCTAGTCACCAAAACACCAAATAATGCAGTTAAAAAGTGAGGTACAGAACTAAATAGAGAATTCTCAATAAAGGAATCTCAACTGGACAAAAGGCACTTAAGAACTTGCTCAACATCCTTAGCCATCAGGGAAATGCAAATCAAAACAACTCTGAGATATCGTCTTATACCTGTTAGACTGGCTAAAATCAGTAACGACATTTTCTTTTGAACAATCACATCCTGTAAGGGTTCTGAGGTCCAAAAATGTTTAAACTTTATATCTATGTTACTGTTAAATGGTGACTAATCATTAAATGAGTTTCCCTTCATATTAAAGCTGAGCTGTGGAATTGGTACCATGATGCTCTGGTTCAGTGTGACTAACAGGAATTAGAAGAAGTTTACCATTTTGGTTACATTTTAACTTTAGTAACAAATTTAGAGCTTCTTAATGTTTTACTATTGTTCAGATTTCTCTACAGGTGTTGTTCCTACTAAGTTGTACTTTTTTTTTTTTTTTTAAAGCAAAGTCAATCAGCAAACAGCACCAGTGTTTTATAGGACTTTAAGTCCTTTCTCCTTTCCTAGTTCTTACTGTGTTTTAATCTTGAGAGATGAGTTTCCCTTAGTCAGTCAAAATAGTACTATTTTGAAACCACGTTGTATCTTGTGTTATGCATATTTAAGAATTTCTTGAGTATCTGGGGTGATCCTTATCCACAGTGTTAAGTCTTCAAATCTCAGGTGCCATGAAATATTCTTTCTGCAGCCCAGCATTTAAGAGACTGAGGCAGGGTGCACTTGAGTCCAGAAATTTGAGGCTTGTTTTACAATAATACTTAGAGTCTATCTCAAAAACATTTTTTAAAATTAAGAATTAAAAAAAATTCAGTTTTATCATTTTATGATTCTTTTTCCAGCAGCATTTATATCTATTACAGACTAGGTTTTTGACTAATAAAGAAGATTCTTGAGAAGGAAAGAGCATTTTCTCATATTACCCAGAGTAAACCAGCATTTTAGTCACTTTTCTTTGCAAACAAATTTTCTCCTGTGTCAGGAAGAAGTCTGGTGTTTCTTCTTTTCCATGTGGTTAGTTTGTTCAGACTTCCCTGCCTCCTAAGACTTGCCTTCTCTGCTTTCTTAGAAGAGTGGGTGCTTCCCTCTAAGTCTACATACTCTACCAGGAATAACCAATGACCTTGCAGTGCTTGACACAATGTAACAGTTACCTAAAAAATTACATTATTATGCAGTCACTTTAAGTTCTGTTATAGCCAAGGTAGAACAGTGAGATTGTTCTAGCAAAACAAGAAAACTGCAAATTATATCTGATATGAGAAATTCAGAGGAAGGTTTTATATTTATTGAGACACTATTTTACTTAAACCTAAGCACAGTAATGTCCTGTATCAGCCTCATGAATAGGTCTTTGCTACCTTGCCCATCTCTTGATCATTTTGGAAGATCAAAGTACACATGGGCAAATCGGTTGCTTTATCATCAAAGCTTTATTTTTGAGATGCAGACAGAAGTTTCTGTCCTTCCATAGCTGTTCAGTCCCAAACTGGTTTGTTAGCTCAGGCTAATTATTAACTAGCTCTTACAGCTTACATTTACCCATAATTCTTATGTTCAGCCATGCAACTTGGTACTTTTTAGTAAGACATTCTCATCTTGCTTCTTTAGTGTCTGGCTGGATCCTGGTCTCTGCCTTTACTTCCTAGAATTCTCCTAGTCTGGAATCCCTGCCTGGCTACTGGCCAATCAGCATTTTATTAAAAACCAATACTAGTGACAAAACTTTACAGTATACAAGATATTATCCACAGCATTGAGAGATTTATAATATTCTTTTAAATACAAAATTTTATTTATAAAGCACTTTTACTGCTCAGTTTATTAAGAACTTAGGTATTTTGACATTTACATAAGTGGCATGAAAATATCAGCCAAGTTTAGCATCCTTTTAAAGCTGTTAAGGAATTTTTTAATTTTTACAAAAACTGGAATATGTTAATAGAAAATATTAATGGACAGAAACCTAACCTTTTTGGTTGAAATATTTTTCTTTTAATGTTTTAAATTTAGAAAAGTGATTCTACTTCTTTTTTCTCCCTTTAAGGAAATAATATGAAATACAAAAATATTTGTATCATTTATTTATAAATTTCATTTACTTTACTAAACACTTGAATAGTTATATACTTAATATTCTTCACTAAGACACCAAAATATGAATACGTCTCCCTTACATAATAAAAAATAAAAAATACACAAGCAGCATTAAACAGGCTCAGCAGGTACTGTTTATATGTTTATTTGTAGTAAATAAATAAATAAATGAACAGTAATAAAGAAATTGGCCAGTGAGAGGCAGCTGAGGGTTGAGAAAGGGGCAAATGATATAATCATTTTCTAATTAGAAATTTTAAAAAATAAAATATTCTGTTGCTAGAAAAGGTGGTTCAGCAGTTAAAAGCATTTGTTGGTTTTCTAAAGGACCTGGGTTTGGGTCCCATCACTCATTTGGAAGCTTACAAGAAACTGTTACTGTGGTTAATCATGGTACTAACCTCTCTGACCTCCAAGCAATAGGGACACAGATAGTACAAATGTAAACATGACCCAACACTCACACACATAAATACATTTTAAAAAATTATTTAAATTGTAAAGAGTACTATCCTCTTGTATTGGTTTGAATGTTCCCAGCATGTAGTAAAACTGAATCATTCTTGTTGAAAGTTGTTAAGGCTTTGGACATCAATGACCTAGATTCAAATTAAGCTTTTTTCCTTTACAGTTGTGCTGCCTCAAACAGACTTCTAAAGCTTTTTGTATTGAGATGATGGATTATTTCTATTCTTTGCTAAGTCTAAGTAAGATGACAAACACAAAAGAAAGTCTTTAAAGTAGTCAGTTACTCTGGGGACTGTTACTGTTGGAACATGATGCGTATATAAACAAGATACTTAAGATTTATAACAAAAATTAACAAACAGCCTCATGAAAAGAGTAGCTTCACCCATAGTATTCTCTAAACTTTTAATAGTTACTAAGAGGAGAAACAGTTTATCTGTTGTAATAATCATTAGATAAAATAAGGCTATGGATAGAATATCCTGTTTTATAAAGTTGTCTTAATAATAAATATATATATATATAACTATAAATGTAACTAATTTTAAGATTCTAAAAGCATCTACAAAGAGAAAACAACTTTTGAAAAAGGTTCAAGAATTATACATTAGTTTCAGATGTTAACTATGGATTTCGATGTCAGTACTTTTAATAAACTTGTGCTTAGTCTTTTTAAAAGTGAAGCCTATTGTGTTGGTATAAACCTGTAATTCTAGTGCTTGGGAAACGTGAAAGAGAATCACAAGGCTACAGTTGAGGCTAAGAACCTGTCATGTCCAAAACTCTTTCTCAGTTCTGAAGAATAAAATAAAAGTGAAACCTGGCAATTATCAGAGAGGTGTTCTGAATTTGCTATTAATAGATAATTCTTACGAACATTCAACTTTTTTTTTAATAAAAATATAAAAATTATACTTTTCTACTACCAAGTCAGGTTTTAGATATCCTGCTGTTGTTGGGCATTATCTTACAAAGTCTGTGCTTCCTGTCTCAGGAAGGTGATGTGGTTGCTGTCAGTGGTGGGACATCTGAAGAAGAGGAGCGAGCATGGCACAGTGATGGCAGTTCCAGGTACAAATGAATGGAGTGTTGCTTTTCCAACTGTTCTACCTCTACCCATCCAAATCTTGTATATAAACTTATTTGAAGGGTCTTTCAGATAACAAAAGTTTGGATTCTCTGAAGTGTCTTTATAGAAAAATTGCAACTAGGTTTGTAAAGTGATGTTTTTAACTCATCTGCCTACTTGTTATTGTATTTCTGACTAATGTATTTATCATACAGAATTGTAAGTTAGCTTCATTGATGAATTTGGGGAATCTTTAAGCATCAGATTATAAAAGAGGTCCTATTGAATTAGCTCCTGTGTAGATGTATTTATGGGCTATTACTAATTTTCTCTACCAGCATTGAAAAGAAAGTGTATCTTTCTACTGCTACCCTGTTTTGGATCATACAATTGAGAGCTCAGTCCTTTAACAACTTGGTGGAATTTCACATTTTTAGATGCCTAATAGCCCTAACTGCATATGAATGTTTTAATGGTCAATGGGGATACAACCTTGGGGGAGGAAATTATTAGTTGTTCCTTATATTTTTTTCCTTCTTTAGCAGTTCCTAAAATAGATTTCTAAAGGAAACAATAAGTGGAGGCTGTTGATATTTCTAAAAGATTCTGATGTGTTCTAGGATCAAAGGCTTTCCTGTCCCTCAATAGTGATTCTTAATGATGATAATACAAATGTCTATAGTTAGTATTTAATAGTTTTCTGTTTTTGAAGCAGAGCAGTGAAGGCAAGTTCAGTTATTCTTGGTTCAGCAGCTGAAATAGTGTATTTTACACCAGGAGACAACATAGTAATTCATTCTTTTGGGGAGGGGGGTTCGAAACAGGGTTTCTCTGTGGCTTTGGAGGCTGTCCTGGTACTAGCTCTTGTAGCCCAAGCTGGTCTCAAACTCACAGAGATCCACCTGCCTCTGCCTCCCGAGTGCTGGGATTAAAGGCATGCGCCACCAACGCCTGGCCAGTAATTCATTCTTATATTCAAAGTGCACTGGTGGTATTAGCAGTTGAGGATCTTTGTTGTGAAAAACATGGCTTCTAGAGTTTATCTTTATATTGGCATCAGATCTTTTATAAGAAGTGAATATTCCAGTGACCAGAAGCCAATGCTCATAAGTTGAAGAGAACCCATACTAGAAGAGAGTGTTTGAAAACATTATTTAGACCCTTTAGAAGCCATGTTAAAGGTTGTTTATGGTGGCACATGAGTTTACTCCTAGCCCTTGGGATGTAGATAAAAGAGAATGTCTGTAAGCTAGAGGCCAGCTTGGTATACACAGTGAAATCCAGGCCAGCTAGAACTAAATAGGGAGGTGCCAGAAACATCCAAAACAATCAATTAAAAAGTCAAATGACATTAGAATGGCCTTTTTATTATGTTGATTCTAATATGAAGTGATAGCTCTTAGAAAGAGCCAGGTAAATGACAATAAAGATCATTTAGACTAGGGAAAAGTCAGTGATGGATTAAAACTATAGTTCAAATTCTGCTGTTAATTTAGTGGTTAATATTGGAACTATATGATCATACATCATATAAACCAAGTTGTGGTTTAGTGTGATTATAGATTTTAACATAATCTAACTCATACCGTTAAGACATTTATACTTAAATCTATACAAAATAAGCAAATATTCTAATGTACTAAAATTAAACAGAAGACAGCTTAGCTAGATATGTTTAGAATGCCATATCTGTAAAGGTAAACTGTAAAGATAATGGCAAGCATGATTGATATTGGCATGTAGGAGAATCTATCCTGTAGGTTTCTCCATAAAGGAAGGGTAGATAAAATAGTGCTGTTGTGGTCCTGTAGTTGGTCAAACGTAGACCAAAAGACATTTTACCATTAAGCCACACTCCTACCCTGAAATTAACTTCATTTTACATGCTAAGTAATGTTTATGAGTTCAGCCTTCCTATTGTGTAGGCACACTTTTCAGCTGCCAGTTCAGGATCTGTCTATTATGAGAATTCCCATTGGTTAAGAACTTCATCCTTAAGCCTGGCATGCTAGTGCATGCCTCTAAGTCCAGTCCTCTGGAGGCAGAGGCTGGTAAGTTTCCTTGAGTTGGAGGCCAGCCAGAAATAGTGAGGCCCTACTTTAAAAATAAAAAGGAATTTCATACTTTGGCTACTTCAGTGGTAGAGTGCTTACAAAGCTTAAATCCCTAGTACTTCAAAGACTAAAAAAAATTCCAAGATCCCCTCATGTAATATGAATAATAAAAACCCAGAGATAAGATATTGAGGTTCAAGCTGAAGATCATTAAAGCAAAGCAGCCACACTTCCTCTACCAAGGCTGGGGAGATCCTGATTGAAACATGGCTGGATGCTAATTGCCAGAACACAGCATGAGACATTGAGTTCCTGTCTGTGTATACCTCTCTATTGCTGGCACTAAATGAGTGAGTTTTGTTTCATGTGTAGATTGATTTACTCTCATGTATCCCTGTGAGGCCTTGAAATCTGCATGTCTCCTGATTGCTGGGATTAAAGGTGTGGTACCACCACAGACTGTCCTCTGTGGCTGTGGCTAGCTTTGCATTCTGATCTTCAGGCAAGCTTTATTAAATCATAAATTTATAATATATCACTACACCCTCATAAAAGTAATTTTTGTGTTTATTGTGGTATATGCATGCTGGCTCTCCAGGGCTCTTTCTACCTGAAAAAGATGATACTCCATTCCTTATTTCTTATAGGCCAGGTATTATTGACATATATGCAGGACAATATGCTTCTTGAAATTATAAAAGGTTTTAAATTTATTTTTCCATAGAAAGTTGTGAAATTTGTTTTTAGATAATGAAAGATAACTTTTGGGAGTTTAACATAATGAAATAACTATATATATATATATATATATATATATATATATATACCAGTGATTATTCTGATTGGACAGCAGATGCTGGAATTAATTTGCAGCCACCAAAGAAAGTTCCTAAGCATAAAACCAAGAAGGCAGAAAGTAGTTCGGATGAGGAAGAAGAATCTGAAAATCAGAAACAAAAACATATTAAAAAGGAAAGGAAAAAAGCAAATGAAGAAAAAGATGGACCAACATCACCAAAGAAAAAAAAGCCCAAAGAAAGAAAACAAAAGGTAGATTGAAATTTTTTAGGTCTAGTGTTTTCTTCTGGGTGAATGATTTAAAGCATAAATGTTACAAATCCTACACAAACATTTTTGAGTTTTATTAACAAGTAATTGAAAAAATTCATAATTATATATTAAGCAGTAGTAAAGCCCATGGAGATTATGTTTTCACAAATGTTTGGGGTTTTTGACACCTGAGAACATTTGCTCAGAACATAACCATACTTTAAATATTTGAGCATTTAATTTTAAAACATTTTTTTCAGATCCAGTGAGGTTTATTTATGTTGGTAAAATAGTGATATAAAAGGTATTTTGTGTACTAATGATCTTTATATTTAGCTGTGCTAATCGTTATTGCTAAAAATACAGAGAAACTTCAGGGGAGACATCACATGAAATATAAATAAACTTGTCATAGTTAACCGTAATGCAAATACAAATCAAATATTGGGTACAATGTACTTCTTATAGCAAGGTTTCATTAAGTACAGTGCCCAAACCACAAGTTTTTACTTTCTGTGTTAATAATGTGTTTGTTTGGTTACTTAATGAGTTTGGATAATTTGAGAGTAGAGAGGAAAAAAAAGGAAACAGAAAACCTGTTCTCAAAGCTAAAGCTGAAATTCTTTTCTTTTATGGTTGTTTTTTGTTGGTGGTGGTTTTTGTTTTGTATTTGTTCATGTTGTTTTGTGGTTTTTTAGTTTTTTTCCAAGACAGGGTTTCTCTGTGTAGCTTTGGAGCCTGTTCTGGAACTTGATTTGTAGACCAGGCTGGTTTCGAATTTACAGAGATCCACCTGGCTCTGCCTCCGGAGTCCTGAGATTAAAGGTATACGCCTCCCACACCCAGCAAAGCTGAAATTCTTTCACCAGGAAATGAGATTAAGATGGTGTTTCTTTTCCTCTGAGATAAATGTTTGTGTGTCTCTGCTGTCTAAGTACTGTAGGAAAGGTCTGTGGATGACTCATGGAGATAGCAGGTGAAGGAGCTTACTACCAACCAAACCTGACCACCTGAGTTTGATCTTTGCCCATGCCCTATTACCT